ATTATAGTCAAATGGAGGATTCAATTACGATGGAATGCGTTCACAGAGATACGAATAATTGTGCGAAATGAATGATCGAATTATGCATATGTAGATGAAGATTGTGAAGATTGTGAAAAATGGATCGAGTTTTATTATCGTTCGCGCGAGGATGAGATTTTTATCTCGTAATTTCTCGTGGGTATATAAAAACTCGTAATTAATACAAGTTAAAAAAGGTATATAGAATAAAAGTATAAAAGTTTCCAAAGTTTTTTAACGTAAGCTTTGCATGAATTATGTAAAAATCGTCATCTTTCACTTTCTTTGTTCTTTGCCTTTCTAAACAACTTTTCTGACGACGAATTTGGATGGACAAAAACTAATTTTTTCTCTCACCTCTTCCTTAATTACTTTTTAATTAACTAATTAATTAACGAGGATAAATGTTCAATTTTATTCTAATAGAATATAAAATATCGCGCTTTCCCTCGAATTCTTCGAAATAAAATTCCAATTTCTTTTGACCAGAAATAAATTATTTGAAAAAATAATTGTTTTCATCGTCGTTAAAATTATACGAAATATAATATCAAATGAATCATTTAAATAAACATCGAGTTTAAATATTAAATTAAAAAAAATGAGATAAAAGTTATCGCTTGTGTCACGCATCGCGAAATAAAATTAAAAAAAAAAAATTTTTTTAAAAATCTTCATTGATATGCGTATAATAATACAAAGGTTGGCAACACTGTACCAGTAATTTTTAAATTCTCGCATACATCGACAGCATGTGTTACAACACATATGTTGGCAATATCTGCTAAACGGATGTGAAGTTGGTATCATAGTTGGAAACTATCGCGAAACTTTTCTCTCGGATACGTGTCAGAAACGTGTGTTGCTATCTCTGATTTCGATGTTATCTCCGTTAATGAACGCGAGGATAGTTTATACAGACTCGATACATTTATTTATACATACATGTTCGCCTTGTCCTTTACATTACAATGGCGGCTGAATTTATCATCAGTGAGGAAAATGGTCGAAAAGGATTGTTTTTTGTACAGAAATAATTCTTGAATTCTAGTGGAATCTAGTGGAAATTTTATACTATATTTTAAAAAAGTAAATAAATATTTTCAATATTTATCGAAAAAACAAAAAGGATTAAATTCTTGCGTGAAAATTTATCAACGATTATAAGCAACGTCGTTTCCCGTGGAAATTCCTAATATCCAGGTACGATAAAGCGTTGAACCGGGTGAAATTAAATTATGAGAATCCCAGAAGTTAGTCGCATCGTGGGAAATTGTTCGAGACGAGGGACGAGTTAAATCGCGCTTATACAATACTCGTATTTTGATCAATTCGGAACTGCGATCCATTAAATTTTAAATTGATCGTCCCTAATCGCGACAACGGAATGCTTGAAAACAAACGAAATGGGCGAAATGGACAAAAGAAACGATAAAAACGTTGTTTACCGTGAAATAACAACTAATTGCAATTAATCGTTAATTGATCGTTCATTATTCTCGGTATTCGATATAAAACACGTATTTTTAATATTTGATGGGCAAAAAATATTTGTTGAAACGAAGAATATTTATTTCAAATTGTATTTAATAAAGATTAGTCAATATAATTTCGTATTTCATAACCTATAACACTTTTCACTTTCACATATAAACTGATTATCATTATTTGACAAATCGTTAATTGATCGTTCATTATTCGATATAAAACACGTATTTTTAATACATTTTGATGGGCAAAAAATATTTGTTGAAACGAAGAATATTTATTTCAAATTGTATTTAATAAAGATTAGTCAATATAATTTCGTATTTCATAACCTATAACACTTTTCACTTTCACATATAAAATGATTATCATTATTTGACAAATCGTTAATTGATCGTTCATTATTCGATATAAAACACGTATTTTTAATACATTTTGATGGGCAAAAAATATTTGTTGAAACGAAGAATATTTATTTCAAATTGTATTTAATAAAGATTAGTCAATATATTTCATAACCTACAACATTTCACTTTCACATATAAAATGATTATCATTATTTGATATATCGTTAATTGATCGTTCATTATTCGATATAAAACACGTATTTTTAATATATTTTGATGGGCAAAAAATATTTGTTGAAACGGAGAATATTTATTTCAAATTGTATTTAATAAAGATTAGTCAATATAATTTCGTATTTCATAACCTACAACACTTCACTTTCACATATAAAATGATTATTATTATTATTTGACATATCGTTAATTGATCGTTCATTATTCGATATAAAACACGTATTTTTAATACATTTTGATGGGCA